AATGAATTTGAAAATTGGACAAAAGGGGATTTAGCGTGCCAAGGACATAGTCTGAGGCTGGCGCTGAAGGAGGTGCAGCTTCCAAGTGAGTTGTGCAGGAAGTTTGCTCACTCTCCCCCTGCTCAGTTTCACAACAAACCCTGGACTGAAGACACTATAAGAAAACTTTGCTTTCCCTGCAGAGTGAAGGGACAGCATCTTGCTTCTCCTTCTCAGAAGTTATGTAAAAAACCTGGACTGTAATACTAACGTTGGAATTGAGCTTTCCGGAATAAATCACCAACTGGGCTATAAAGCTCAGAAAGGAATGAGCCGTCCTTGTTGTTTGTGAGTGGTTAATCAGGCATAAATGTTTTGGCCACCCTGTGTCTTTGGATTTTAACAGACACAGGAGCCACACCATGCTCTAAATACTGCTTGTAAAGCATCGTCCTTCCCCTAGGAAAGATAGTGCACCCATAGCTTTGCAGCTACTAGGAACTACTCCTAACATATTCCTCCACAAAGCAAATAAACACCACTTTGGAGCCCATGGAGGTCTCTAGCTTCAATGGCCACTGCCATTACCACCTCAACCATCAAGAAACAAAGGGGAAGGAATGGGACCTGCAGTGCTGGAACCAGCACCTGGTAAGGCTGGCTCATGCCAAACTACAGCAGACACTCAGGAACGGACACGGCGTCGGCACCACGGCCTGGAAAGCAGATTTTGTCATATGACCAGAACATCTTCTGAACATGCCGGATGTCTTCACTCAGCTGCCACTGTAGCAGAGCATGAGATGTCAAAACAGGTTCATGTCCTATGTAAGGCTATAATCTCCCATTTGATGGTTTAAAGAAAAGAGCAGTCAGAAATTATCCACAGAGGGGAAATATGGAATAAGGAGGTGGCAAGATGGGCTTGGAAGTGGCACAAAGCCATATCTCAAGGTTTCCATTCCCTAATTCACCTCCTGAAACTTCAGTTAGGGTTCACAACAGCAGGGGAGCATGTGGTCACCTTTGTCTCTGAACATCCACCACCAGGAGGAGGAGGACAGAGCCTCCTGCAAGCAGATGTTAAGCTGCAAGCAGGACACAACAGGGCCATATTACAAAATCTGTATCCCAACAAGCAGGTTGTGGGATCCTGGGGATCTCACAACCCACAGTCAGAACAAGCTGTTTCCAACCAGAGCTTGTCTCCCTTCTAGCAAAAATGGGTGAAAATGTCAGCCAATTAAGCTCTTTCCACCTACATCACATCATCTCCAAAAGCCAAACAGGATCTCAGCAGAGTTCTCCAGGAAGTCTCACTTCAGCAGATCTGAGCCCTTAATGTTAAAATGTTACGAGTAAGAGAACTACTGCGTGGGTGCCCCAAAGCCACCCTGTGAATATTATTCACTTGTGCATATTAAACATAATTGTCTCTCCAGTACTAAAAAGCTCTCCTTCTAAAGTAGTAGAAAGTGACTCCCACAGTACAATTTAAGGTTTAAATTTGGAAATGAGAGATTTTATTTTTCTCTTTTTTTTTTTCCTCTAATGTAAACCACGTAATTGTAAAGAACTGATGGATAAGGCATTGTAACAAAACACGTATGGCTGTGATTATGGCATCTCCTTTCTGTGACACATTCAGGGATAAGTTTTCCCAGTAACAGTGGTCAGCACACCACAAAAATAACAGCTACTGACAACTCCTAATAAATTTAGCCTGTGTAGAAAACATATAGCTGAACATGCATGTAACAGTGGCTGGATTCAGGAATCAAACAGAAAGACAAAAGCACATTGCTGTGGCCTCAGACATAGGACCCTAAGCTCAGCAGGGACCTCTTTGAGAACCAGGCAAAAGCTACCTACAAGTGACCATCAGAACCTCTCAGTATTTCTAGCACCAGGGAAGATGAGATGAAAAAATCATGCAAATGACTGACTTTCAAATCAGTTGTGACCAATTTCCAAAAACTGAAAATAACCTTCTGGCAAATACAAAACCAAATTCTTGTGAGGATGGGCAGAAACCTCATTCTTGGCTGTGAGGTTCAATTAGGTGACTTTGAACAAGTGAGCTACCTCTGCACTGTTAAATAACACATGGACAGGGGCAGGTCACCAGCCTGGAGGTCAAGAGCAAAAACTGTGTCCAGCACTTGGCCCCAGGTCACCTTTGTGCAGTGCCTCTGTGACCCTCGGATAGAACTATTATTTTGTGGGATTGGGATGGGGGAAAGAAGTTCAAAAGGCTGGAAAAGGAACATGAAAGTTTTGCCTCAGTCCACTAGACTGTTTTTACAGCATAAAATGTTTTACAGCACGAGGGCACGTATGTCAGGCAATGCTCAAGGTGATCATCAAGAGTATGAAGCCTATTGAGAAAGTGCTGAAAGACTGGAAAGGGCAGAGGAAAAAAAAATTGCCCAAACTGACCAGGTACAGGATGGCACAGACCAACACAGTGCCAAAGAACACCCTAACAGCAAAGCAGTAAGGCCATCAGCTCTACATCTCAGCTTCCACTGTGTCAGGTAGGGTAACCATCACACTCCACTTGACACCAGGGTTGTCAAGTAAATGTGAGCAAAGTGCTAAGATATTGTTGGTCTGGGGACCCAACACAGAGACACGTTGATAGCTTCCCCACTCTCACCCCATCCAAAGCTACCTAATCAGGCTCACTGAGGAACTAGTCCTTTTACTTTGTGTGCAAATTTGGACTTCCTTTTTGCTCTGTTAAACACATAATGATAGTGATTTCCCTAAGCTTGCTAAAGGTAGGCTTGGGCTAACATGACTTCATTACTGGCAAGTATCTTATACTTACCGTATGCTGCTAGGATTAAAGACTTGGGAGGATTTTTGACCTTTCCAAAGCTTTAATTTTGTTGAATTTATACGTGGTAATAATCAATGCAGAGACTCCTTACAGCCACCATCTCCAAGCTCAGGAGATAGACCTAGTGAAACCAGCCTCACAGATTTCCCTGGGTATGGTTGAGAGTCCACACAATGCTACGCAAATTCGTGACTTTCACTAAGTGCCCCAGAGGAATCTTCATAATGCCAAGATAGGCACCAAGAAGAAAAACAAACGCTTCACTGTTCGGCAGCGACTCTGTTCTTTTTTTCTTAAATACACTTGAAAGAGGGCTGGAGGCAGCAGTTGCACCTAATAATCTCCATGAAAGCTGTTACGTACAAGGCTGCCAAATAAGATCCTTTTTTTTTCTCGTGTTGTTGTTCTCTCACTTTTTTCATCCTGCACTACCTTGATGGAGCACCAAAGAGCTTTTGCACTCACACCGTACAAATACCTTCAAAAACAAAGCGCCGATCCTGAAGTACAAAGCTGCCGTCGTGGGACTCTGCAGCATCTGTTTTAGCATGCTGCTTTTAAATTTAGAAGCCGTGTATCTCCACAGATCAAGCGCAGCCAATAAGTCACTCAGCAGTCCCTTCCCATTAGCTCTCACAAGTCAGTGCCAGCCAACGGGGGGAAGTGGGTGTGTGGTGTGTGTGTGAACGGGCCCTTCTTGCCCTCCAACAGCCCTCTGCGTCTCCGCAGCCCTGCACCTCTGCTGCGGCTCACTGCACCCTGCCTGAGTGACGCTGCCCAGCCTGCAATCCCCAGCGCTGGTGTCCTGCCAGCAGCTCAGCTCGGCAGCAGGACGCGACCCTGCCGGCCCCCGACCCTGCCGCAACGCGCCGCTTTTTGCCTTTCCTGGGTCACGCGGCGCGGTGTGTGCGTACGCTGCACAGCATATGTAGGAGAAACCATGCAATGAAATCAGGGGAGCTGCTGAAGCATGCAATCTGGTGCACAGCCCTGACCTGTGCCGTCAGACTGCTCCATCTGTGTCTCCCGGCCGTGCTTCTGAGCCAGAGCCCACAGCTAGGAAATTGTGCATGTGAAAATCGCCACCGCCAGCTTCTTCCATTAGGCGGCTGGACCACCACTCTGGGAAGGTCCAGCAAGCCAGATGAATGAACTTAAAATGAGTGCAACATGCCTACAATGTGTACGCCACGGATGGCTGGTACAGGTGGGCAGGATTTGAAGCTACTTTTGCTCCCCCTTCAAGAGTAGTCTGCCACTTAACTGTAAGCAGAACTGCTGTCTGCAGCGGAAGGCGGTGCTGTGGAGCTCAGTCAGGCAGAACATGGCTGAGAAAAGCAGGGCAAAACAGAATGAAGACCCAACTGCAGCCCTTAAAGCAAAGGTCACAGCTTTGTTTGAAGCATGGGAGGGGCACCACGATAGAAAATCTCATCTTGGCTCTATGCTGTCTGTTAAAAGGATGAAGGATGAAGGGTATGACGTCCTCCTTGGCTAGGAGAAGTAGCATTTTCTCCATACATCTACATTGTTCATCATTTTTCAGTTTACGCCGGGTGAGCAACACAGCTTACAGGACTGGCAGTCTCCTGTGAGGGGACAGCACTGTTTCTAGGTGATGTTTTGCACAGATGTGAACATCGGTTAATTAGAAGAGTGAAATTTCAGCCTAGAGAGTGTTTACCATGGAGAAGAGGGGAAAGACTCACAGGTTTCTTCATTGCTTCCAGCCATGAGAGCCGAGGAGAGCTTGCACATGTGCAGGCAGGGGAGGGCAACAGGGAAGGGAGGGCTGAGAGAGGGGACACAACCAACACGCGCGAGCTCCCCAAGTGGAGTGAGCGGTTTTGGCAGCTACCCTGGAAAAAAAAGACACTGTCAGCACTGCAAAACACGCAGGAAAATCTTTAGCTGGCAAATGCAGATTTAACTTTCCCAGAGGCAGCAAAGAGTGGAAAAGGCCCAGAGCTGCAGATAAGGAAGGGAGCAGCGATGGGATCAAGCCAGCTCTGGACACTGCCGAGTTCAGCTCTCTCTTGGATACAGCCCCCTCTTTGGAAATGGGGCGCTGAAGGAAAACAAAGCCTGGAAGAATCTGGAATATCTTTATCCACAGACAGATGCACATTAACAAATGCCACACGCTTCCATTTTACAGAGAATGGAACTGCCTTACCTGAGTAGTTTTTGCCCTTCTGCCTTGCATGCTGCTACTATGGCTCATTTGTGGGTTGGTGGCCCCTTCGGAAAGGCAGTGGGACTTCCTACAGGGCAACGTGTTGTAATTACTGTAGGAAGGTGCATCCTCAGCGGTAACCGATGCCATCTTATGGCTCCCGATATCCGGGATGTCAGACACTAAGTTCCGGCAGTACCCTCCAAAGGCATTTCGCGGACCTCCGTTGATGGTGGCGCTCGGGGTTTTGGGCGAATACAGGTCGCTCATGGAGTTGGCGCGCTGGCAGGCAACCAGCGCCTGGGGGCTGCCACCGGCCTCCGGCCCCCGGCCGGCCTCGGCATCCTTCTCCTCGGCCAAGCCCAGGATTTCCTCGTTGCTCGTTAAATGCTCCTGGCTGAGGTCGGAAAGCGAGAACTCCAGGCTGTCCTCGCGCCAGATGTCGGCCGATTTGGAGCGCTTCTTCTTGAAGCTGGCTGTCTCGATGAAGGTTGTCCCGTTGGCCGCGTATCGATGCGCCCTCCCATCGCCCTCCGCCAGGAACGGCGGCTCGTCCCCATACAGCCTGCTCTCCTCCGAGTCAGGCATGCTCTGGACGGAGGCGGCGGTGAGGACAGTGCTGCTGTCCACGCTGGGGGTGACGGAGGAGTCGGTGTGGTAGGAAACTGGCCGCAGGCCCATGTCTACACGGTCCACCCAGATGGGGCTTCCAAAGTCCTCTAGGTTGGCCTCCTGGGTGAAGGGCTCCAGGCCGTTCTCCGCCAAGGACTGGGGGATGCTGGGGGTGCTGCTGGAGCGGGTGCTCACTTCCGAGTTCCGGTGGATAATTTTTCCAGAAGAAGCGTGGCGCGTCCGGCGAGAGGCTTTGTTGGAGAGGCGGAGCGAGCGGGAAGTGTGCTTGCGGCCCAGGCTGGTGTGCTTGTCTCCGTAGAAGGCATGCTCCACGCTCTGACTCTCTGCGTTTCCCATGGCGTCACAGTCTGAAAGGGAAGAGGGCGGGGACCGTTAAAGGTGGCAACCAAGCATGCAGGCAAGAAGACACACAGATGCCCCAGTACACCCGAAAGAGCTTTTCGTTCCTTTAATAAGCCTGTGCCAAAACCTACACTGCAGCTTCCACCAGGTCTCGCAAGACATGCTTCAGCAGCACCAGTTTATCCCACGTAATGAATCAAGTCAGCAACCGTACCAGCAAACTTATAAATACAACTTGGTTAAATCAGTATGTAGGAAAAGGTCAGACGATAGCTATGCTGGTATAAATGAAGAGTGTACAAGAGGGAAGGATTGACTCTTGAAGGTTGGTGTGAACTGGAGCTGGTTTCCCACCAAAGTGCAGTGGCAGTCTCAGCTCTGCACACCCTCACTTGATTCTTTGCATTAGCTTCACTATTCCAACCAATGCTACAAACTCAAAAAATCAACAGCTGTGGTTTATCTGCATGCAACAATATCCCAAAAAGTAGACAAGATATACACCTTTATCTAAGATTTCACTTTTCTTTTTTTCCCTAGGAACTGCAAATTGCAGCACCAAATAGCAAAGTACAAATTCAGCTGTTAAGCAGGCGAGCTAATAATAGGTTTGATTTCTGGAACAAAAAAACAGTGCAACATTAAGCAGGTACAGAGAGCCCCACACAAGAAAGCCATATTATGAAAAATAAATTAGCATGAGTGACTCAGACTATACAAAAATAACCTTTCTTCCTACTCACTCTGAAGCAGATAGCTGGATCTAAGTGCTTTGATCTAGCAAAGGTAAAACTGAGCTGGAACACAGGGACTGGGTTTTTCAGTCCCCACTGCCATACCTCACCTCCTACATTAATCAGTTGGGCACGTCCCACCGAGAAACAGGTTTCACATCTAGAAGATGTGAGTGATGATTGGATTCAACCTTGTAAAATACTTTGAGGTCTGTGATCTCACTCAACAAATGTCAGAAATATTTTATCAGTAGTATTGGCTCCTTCTAGCCAAAGAGCAAGAAGAAGAAGAAAAGTAAATGTTAAAGTACATGGCCATTCAAAATTAAATAGGAGGTCCTGAATTACACACAGGACAATTATATCTAGATAAATACTCCATAAATCTTGAACAGGAATTCCAAGACAAAACTACCTTCTTTTGAGGTATTTCTATTAGTCTTGACTGGGGGGGAAAAAAAAAAAAAAAAAAAAAACACAAAGCAAAACACACCAAACTGTCCTGACTGTAAAATAATCTGAACAATCTGGGGTTTCATTTCTTGGGGCAATTTCCTCTCCTTTAGCAGGATGTGCCAATGGGTACTGAGCTAGATACTGGCAGAAGAAATGTGATCGTGTATTTTCCCTTGCTATCTAAACAGACACTACCACTGCTGCACAAAACTGAATTAGTCCTGCACAAATTACATAGAAAATGAGGAATTAATTGTGCTAAACACAGGCACAGGACTTGTGCTGCAGGCTGCCCTGGGTGCATATGGCAGACCTGAACTTCTGCAGTGATACTTCTGACCACAGTCAGAGGACTCTGCTTCCCTACTCTTCTACACAGCAAAGTAGGTCACGTCTGAGGCTAAAAATCTGTCCAGTGCTGGAGCAACAGGCACCTCCTTAAGTATCTGCACATTTCTGTATCTAAAATAAATATAGTTACATGAAGTAAACTACAGCAGATAATAGCCTATGTCTAGTGAAATTATTAGTTGAACTCTCATTGACTGTCATAAGACTTGGTTATCATGCATTGTTTAAAAAATAATGTGCTGAAGAGAGGTCAGGTTCTATATCAAAAAAAAAAAAAAAAACAACTATATTATATCATTATAAATCCCTATACAGGGTTTATTATTCCTTAAAAGCTACAGGCCTTTGATATGGACAGGACTGAAAAACAAATGTCAGCTAGCATTTGCTTCTAAAACGTTTAAAAGCACAAAACCTGCATTTTGTCTTCCACACCCATGCCTAAAACCAGATCTCAACACTTCCCATCTTGCAAAAGAAACCCTCACGGGGGTATGTTTTTAACTGCTTTTGAGTCTGAGAAACTTGCTAACCACACTTTGATTTGACAGAATTTCCACTGGCTGCAAAGCAAGAGCGTACAGCTCTTTATCCCCAGTCTCCAGCCATGCAGCCATCATGACAGTACCTATCTAAGAAGAAAAAGCAGTTTTAAAAGTCCTCTTGAAACCACAAATGAATGAATGAAGAGTGTCTCTTTACCTTCAGACACAGAGCTGCTGAAGGGCAGGAGACGCAAGCTCGCTGATGGAAACGCCGGACAGCACAGCTATGGAGATCAGCCCTGTGCCACCACCTCGATGGAGCCTCCATGCACACTGGGCAAAATTTCACCCAGCTGAAAACTAACAGTACCACAAATGACTTGGCAAGGAAAGGAGCAGCAGCTCAGGCTGCATCCCATGAGGAAATAACGCCACTAGAGACTCTCTTCATGGAAGGAGAAAAGTCTTTCCTCCGCAGACAGTGGCAGGAATGTTTACTGACTGAGTGACTTCACACAATGAGAAGTATCTGCTAGATACTGGCAAGAAGTGTAGAAGTGTCAGACTTCAAAGTAAAGAGCTGTCCCTTTTTAATTCGTGGATTGGCGCTTTAGGTGAGGACGCATTTGCAAATCCTGCAGACAGCTATCTATCCTGTGATTAGCCCATGCCTCGCTCCTGCACCCAGGGAGGGGCCTCACCTAATCCCACCAATTTCCCTGGAATTGCCTTCCACATTTCCATGAATGCTGTGCAGTGGGCGCAAGAGGGCTGGAGGCAGACATGGTGCAGCTGATCCAGATGCGGCAATGCACGACAGTGCCATCCCTGTGGTTTATCACTGTCCCCCAGCAGAGGCCATCTCCCCTGGGAGATGCAGGAAACGAAGGATTGCTCCAGCCTTGGGTGGGGACAGTTCACCCCACCAGGTCAAGCTGAAAGTGTACCTTTGTGAGTTGTGCAAGACCAATGGCTATCCCTGAGAGGGACCCTCATCCTACCTTCACAGCCCTGTAATTGCCTCCCCTCTGCATTCCTGGATACGCATTTCCACCAGTTACCTTGAAACAATTTAGGTGCTCATGCAACTGAGTCCTAAAACTAAACTAAACAGCAGAAAATGAACCCAGAAAACAGAAAAGAGGATTTTATTAGTTTGTTTTTTGAGATAGTGGGTTGAACTGGCACATGCCAGTGGGGGTACCCATCTAGGGACACAGAGGGGTGTGGACGGAGCAGCATGGCTGGAGGCCGATGCAGGAGCCAGGGAAGAAGGGACAGCAAGTGGCACCTCCCCCATTTTTTGGCAGCAGTGAGCTGTTAGGTCAGCTCGGGCAGATGTGGAAAGGCAGCCCTGAAATGTGAATTCACACTGAAGCAGATGCCAGCGTCCTCAGCTAGGAGCAGCAGGCGCTGGGCAGGGGAGGGAAACCCCAACCTCCCCCTCCCAGGGTCAGTGGCAGACACCCTGGGGCAGAAACATCTTAAACTGCTCCAGCTACAACTGCCAGATGCTGCCTGTCTACAGCTTAACTGAATTTAGCACACTCAATGAAAAAAATCTGTATCAAATTAAGAAAATGAGTAATGTTAATAGGAGCTGCACGCAACTGCTGGTAGGACAAAGACTCCCCTTGTTAGCTCACCCACTGAATCCAAAGGTGACCATTAAAGGCCTATCAAGGTACCACCAGGATACAACATAAATCAAGTGTGACACATCTTGATGCTTTAAACGGGTCAGTCACACTCAAGCAAGGATTGCTATGTGTTAAAAATCTGTTCTGAATTATTCTCTGAAGCTAGCACAGATTAGCGCACACAGACCACACGCTGCAAAGAGAACTAGTTGGAAATTTTTCAGCAGAAAATGTTGATTCATCAAAACCCAAACTTTTCATGAGAACAGGCTGCTTTTGATGAAAGGCTCCTCCACTCCAAGACAGAGAGATTTGAAAACTGAAACAGGGAGACAGGCACGTCTCCTGGAAGAGGCACCAGCTCAGTGAGTCAGTTGCTTGCCAAAGACACAGAAAATTGACATTCGGATCTGCAGCCCAAGTCAGGCAAACGAGGGGTGGCAACTTGTTTCTCCACATTCTCAAGAGGCATCCCGACCATCAAGTTACCAACTGCGCTGGAAAAAGGCTCCCTCTCCCAGCAGATCTGCTCCTTCCTAGTTCAGTGCAGAGAAAAATGTCAAAATTGTATAAGTCTTCAAGAGGTCAAGAAAGTAACCTTTTAGCCAGTTTGCACATCAAGAGACAGTACAGGGGGCTGAATTGTTTTTGGTTTTTTTTTGTTTTGTTTTTGTTTGTGGGGGGTTTTGTTTGTTTGTTTGTTTGTTGTATGTGTGTGGTTTTTGTTTGTTTTTGTTTTTTTTTTTAAAAAACTTGATATTGATATCAATATTAGCATATCAGCAGGGAGAACACAAATTCTGCAGGAAAGCTTTGAAAAATACAGCATTCTCTACATCAGCTACCCTAGACAAGCAGACTCACCTCTAGCTGAACTGATGGGTTTTTTTGGAATGAGTCTTACACTAAATGGTTACACATAAAGACAATCCCATTCTAGATGACCACTGATGATGGTCCCTCCAACAAATATTTTCTTTGAAAACTGTAATTTTCCTTTCTCTTCCCTTAACCCTGATATTAAATATTTCTTAAAAGAACTACAAAACCAAAACACTTGTTTCAATTAAAACCAAGTTACTACCTCTCAAACTTGCAAAAAGTTAGGCCGTTAGATTCCAAAAGAAAATCTAAAATGTATTAACTTTCCAATCAAATCTGAAGCACCTCACAAGACAACAGATTGCAAATTTAAAATTAGATTCTAGTGGGAGGCCCTGGTGACAAATCCATATTTTTCTCCTGGAGCGGAGCTTGAAGGCTGTGAGAACCAGAACAATGATTAAATCCACAGCAAGCAACAAGCCTACAGAAATAAACTTTTGCTA